GCGATGTAAGACCAGTGGGCTTTCGATATATAGTCGGCAGTAGTCTATACGTAGATGTGCACATGAGTCTATTATTGATATGATTGGTGGGAGATTGGGATAGATGATTGTTTCATATACGTGCTACGACCATACCTGACTTATTATTGATTATTGATCATTGTTTCTTATATATGAATAATGTTTACTGCATAGTGGTGAGCACTACTTTTTCCAACTGTGCTCATCCCCACCTGAAATTCACGTTTCAGGTTAAGCGAGGCAGGTGCAACGGTGGAGTTAAGCGAGTGGTGGTCGGTCCTTGTCCTTCTATTAGTGGTGGTATCTTAAGATTCCGGTTTAGAAATGATCTATTTCTATAACTAGAAATTTCATAAGAGAAGAAAGATCGTAGCGTAGAAAAGAAAGGCCTTTCCTGCACGGGCTTACTTAGTGCTTGTGCTAAGGTCAATTATATCGAGCCTTCTATATTATATACACGTAAGGCAAGCAACGGCTAACGAGCCCCTATCAGAGAAAGCCTTGGCGCGCTAGCGTTAGGCGCGCAGGACTTTTCTTGCTAGGCTGAGCGAACAAGCAAGGGACTGAGCTAGCGCGAAAGCCGTTGCGCGGCGCAGTAGTTTGATTGCATCTTGCTTGCTCCCAGCTAGCGGAAAGGGTGAATGTGAATTCATTTTTTTTGAAAGATGCTATTTATGTTAAGCATCAAGATTGTGTTGGTGTTCAGTCAGCTGTACTAAATGCAGATTTGGATGCCTCGTATGAAATATATAAGAGTTTTTACAAAGACGAAGACCTAGCAAGAAAACGGAAGTGCGCGCACTCCGGCTTTCGAGCCTTCGTTTGCTAGGTTGATCAAGTAGCTTTGAAGATGGGCTTCCTATGGGAAAGAGGGAAGTAACAAGCGATAACAAAGGCCGTAGGGGATAGGATGTCTTTCTGCGTCTACTGACGCGTCTTCGGATGCTTTTGAAACAGCCTTGGCTATCGGTCATGTTCTCGATCCTCGTCCCACTCCCATCTCCAGCTCACGCTCCTTTGGCACCATACCCCGCCCATAACAAATCACACCTTTTCTAAAGGCTCAATTTGGCTAGTGGTGGGCAACACCCAAAAGGCATGGCTTAGTAGTTTTAGGCTCCTCCCTTTCGCGAAGCCTATCCTTGGGCTTTTCTCTCTTGCTCATGCTTCCTATCTCGATCCGGCTCTCAATCTCGATCTTGACCAGTATTCGCACCCCAAATTCTCCACCATTCTTGGAGGTTCCTATTCTATTCTATATTAACTATTTGGTGTTGATGTCGTTAATTGGGGCGGAGAAAGATGGGTTGGTTTATCTAGCCCGATAGCAGAAACAATGTTTACGGGGCACTGCGTGGCTTAAAAGGCCCTATTTTAACGATGAATGGAATGGTTGTCATCCCCCCGCTTCCAGAAATTTTGGATGGCTAATCAGTTGTGGTTCCTTATTCTTAATTTCACTCTCACGGGGGGGCCCCCATTGCTGCGTTGGAGGCCTTCCGGACGCTAGCTTTATTTAAAGCCTAACCTATCAAGGAAGGTCAGAAGCCAGAGAACGTTGTCGAGAGAGAGCGTAGGATGGGGAGAGAGAATCAGAATTAAAGGGTTAGATCAGATCGAGCCCGAGATGCGGATCATGAGCACAATAAAGAGCAGCCAAGATATGAAATGGATATGCAATGAGGGAGCGCTAGCCCCAAGGGTAAGAGAAAGTATAGCTACCCCGTGAGTTCCTAAACTTTAGAAAGAAATTTCCTAAACTCAAAAACGTAGTGGATCTGAGCCCCCCTCTTAAGGGGTGGGGGGCCGAGGCAGGTAAGAAAGGTATGAAAGCCAAACGACTTTCAATGTTGGGCAAGCGGGACTCGAACCCAGCAAGCAACGGACCAGCCAAGAAAGGGGGCAGTGCGGCGGTAGTCTTGTCTTTTAGAACTATGTATTAAAGCAAGCAACAGTACGCTAGCGCGAAAGCGTTGCTTTCTTGCTCGGTAGTGCGAGCTAGCACCCCTTTTTACTACAATACAACTAATTATATATACACAATTGTGGTTCGTGCGTCGGTACTTTTCTGGTTTCCTTGCGAGCTCCGTTTTACCTCTTTTATATGGTGCAATAAGCCTCTTTTATCATGCTTATATTCTATACAAAACCCAACATTCATGACTTTCACTCTTTCTTGTTGGTGGGTCACTGGACCCTTTGGAAGCTACAGAACTTGGAGATCCCTGGACCAACCTTAAAAAAATAGGATTTCGCATACGAAGGCGCCGAAAGGCCTAACGTTTTTCAGTTGGGGTCCGGCTTTTAGGTGGATTGCCTACTTTGATACTAATTATTAAGGGATTCAGTCCGGTCCCACTAACGGAACAAGAAGACAGACGCGTATGAAACAGAGCTGAAAGCGCGAGTGCACGATCTCAAAAGCGGCAAGTTCACGTTCCGCTTCCTCAATCTTGAACTCTGGCTATTGGGACGAGCTCCCCTTACCTGCGCTATTCTATGAACAAACACGCCAGAGGAACTCCCTTACCGGACTCGCTCACATACCTGGATGGGGCCCCCCTCCGAGGCCGGTTCACCAGGTTATACCAAGGCCCAATCATAGTAAAAAGAAGAGTTTGATCCTGGCTCAGAAGGAAGAAAAACCTGCGCCGCCATCAAGCTTTTTTTTATAGAGAGAGAGTCGAGGTCTGCGGGCGATTCTGTAACCGCAGGCAGACCAGACCCGACAACATGATGGTCGCGCATGAGATCGCATGAGACCACTTCGATGTTGAGTCGGGGGATGCGAGCATAGTGGCCCTAAAAGACCTTCTGCGCTATCTTAAGGCATTTTACAGGAGTAAGGAGATGATGTGTGGAACCACTTTGACATGGGAAGAAATCCGAAAACTTTGTTCCGTTACATTAGCTTCGTTTGTTGTTGATTGTCAATAATTTGAGGAGTTAAAGTTAGATTTAGAAGAACAACTAATAGCGTAAGTAATATAGTCTCCGTAAGGCTTTTAGGCGAGACTGACTCCACCGCTAGGCTTTGAAAAGGCCAATAGACGAATAAAGGCGCTAGCCGAATAGGGGCTGAGCTTTATAGATAGGCGAAGGGAATGACGAGGGTCGATGTAATTGAGGCGACGAACAGCCCGATAAGGGTATTTATAGGTGAGCCGCCAGGCGAACTGGCGTGGCTGTTAAGAGAAGAGAATGAAGATGGCATAGAATACCCTGTTAGCAAGAAGGAAACGAGTTGGCTTACCGTATCTACTTTATCATCGCGGGAAAAGGGCAGGGGCCTTAACTAAGTACTCAAGCTGCTGGAGCGGTTGCCTTCGTTGCTTCCACACGAAGGAATCTCCATCTCGCTACTTCCCCCTTACTGTCCTAAGTGAGGGAGAAGGATGAAAAACCTTGTGTGAAGGAAAGTCAAAGTTGTTGACCATAAATCTGGTCTTCGAGAAGGAGCTGTTAAGGAAGAGAATACAGAGGAATTCGAGTGGGTATATAGTGGATTCCGCCTGCTTTTAGGAGTGATCTTTTATACGATACCAGCAGACTTTATCCCCCTCTCGTACTTGCTTCTACTCGTCTTAGGAAGGTACAACAGGAAGCAGGAAGAGTCACCGCTACCGGAACCGCCACCTCCTCCCCCATCACTTAAGGCTCTAACCTGCCGAGCTGGTAACGAGCAAAAGCATTAGATAGAGTGGAAATCAGATCTTCCCACCTCAAGGTTGGTAAATCCACGATACTCACAAGAATAATGGTCGAAGCATCGCATCCTGTCTTTTTAAGAACCGAAAAGTAGTCGTCAATACCAGTCATATTTTTATGGCTTGTTTTCGGTTGCATGCACTCATATTAGCGACTAGGGCCCGATAAGGGTCTGTCGTAGCGACTCATATCGGCTTAGCATTCTAAGGAAATTGAGTATAGGCAAACCTGCCTTATGGCTCTTCTATTAGTAGTACTAGTATACACTCGCATTCTCTCACTCAGCTCTAACTCACAGATAACATATGCCACAAGCGGGAATTATCCGTCCAAGTACCAGTCCCTTTGAATATCCTGTTCTCTTGGTTCAAAAGAAGGATGGTTCTTGGCGCTTTTGCGTTGATTATAGGGCTGTACGAGCCTAGGCCGTGATTGCAGCAGATAATTGAAGAAATGTTCATAGAAGGATTTCATAAATGTGAATAGGATTTTCTTAAGAAGAGTGAATTATGAGTTTAGATTCATATCTTCTATTGATTTCGTATAGAAATAGAATCTTACGCCAAAAACTCCCATGTCTTTGTTAAAGAACCCACGTTACTGGTTTTTTTCAAATTTCAAGCGGTTGAGTTGAAAGCTCAACTGGCTAAAGGTTTTTTTGTTTGCTTAGATAGAGGGTCGATGTAATTGAGGGAGATTTTGGCACGAATTTGGGAATGTTTTAGTAGGGAAATATCGGAAGTCAAACTGGAATTTTTTGGTTTTTATAGAATTACCCCAAACATCAAGTTTAGTCATGGTAAGGGAGTCGAAGTTTGGTATTCTAAAGACTATCTTATGGGCCCCCCTACACCGCCAACGATACCAGAAGAAATCCCTAATCCACTCTCTCTCTCTAGATCCGCCAATTGAAGTTCAAAGCCCGCTTGAGCAATTTGACATTCTCCCATTGATTCCTATGGAGTTGGAAGATTTTTTCCGCAATCGAGTCGAAAGTGAATATTGTCAGCTTGCACTGGAAGAACTACAAAAAATCGTCCAAGCTTCTAATGGATTCTTATTCAAGCTCAATTACATCGACCCTTGTGTGTTTGATTGAATATTGAACGAGATTCTCTTGTTTAAATAGTGAATGTTGAGTGAGCCCCTTTTATTGAGTACGATTCTTGTCAACGGGAATTCGATCATCTAAGGTTGGTCGAGCCAGTCTGTATGAGCGTGATGTTAAGCCTAAATCAAGTATAGTAAGGGCAGACCGGAGTGACGTTTTTTTAGGGAACTTTCCTATTATTGACGCCGTCCATGAGACATTCAGATAGCCAGCCAAAGCCAAGGATCACCTTCGGCAGTAGGACTTGGTTTCTAGAAGTAGTACGTTTTAGGAAGTCAATTTCCAGTGCCGCTGACTGGAAGTACTGCTTCATGGCAGCAATTTGGCGGTTGTGGACTCGTAGATGCAGGTCAAAACTATCTTCCCTCTCCCAAACTCTATGACGTCACTTCGCTTCGAAAAGTTCTTTAAGTCTCACTTTGCTCTCCTCAGACAATGGTTTTCGTACAAGGAACAGGCGCAAGAAATTAATATGTTGCACCACTTCCAAGTACCCTCGGACCGTACGTACTTCGGGTGATGAATCGTTTTAGGATTCACACGAGAAGTACGGGATGTAGAGACTTTCATTAGTCTATACAGTGAGAAGATGGTTAATACCATCCTCGTCACCTCCATATCCCCACCTCTTATCATTTTACGATATTGAGGAGGTATGATACGAGGCAAACCAGTCCGGGTTAGAGAGATAGGCATATCTAAAACGGGTTGCAGAGACGACGGTCTCGAGCCAACATACCACATAAGCAGCTGATTGCACTGCTTCAGGTACTTGGCCGTGAACATCGCTCCATTCTTCCGATAGATATTGGACTATCTTCCTACTCATAAAGAGTATGGCCAGACAGTTACCTTTGTCTCCCTCGCAAAATCCCCGTGTTTATGTGGCGGTTGCTTAACAACCTTATTCCACTAGACTCGTCTCTTCGGCGACTGGGGGTCCACTTATGTTCGAAATGTGTTTTTTGTCCAGAGGAAGAATCTCTTGAGCATTTGTTCTTATCATGCCCTTTCGCTACTTCATTATGGCGCCACTTCGGCCGCATAATAAGAGTTACCCTTACGCCTCACTCCCTTGCTTTGCATCTCTCGACTTGCTTGACCCCTGAGAATACAGCCTCCAGACATGGAATTTCATGTTAATATCTTCCGCTGAGATCGAGCTTACTCTATGCCATCTAACTATCCTTGAAAACGATGCGCCTCTTGAATAGCTCAGGGATGCTCTTCTATTCGAAAAATTTTCCCAACACCTTCCCGAACTTCAATGACTTCACTTTGCTTCGCTTCGTTTGTATAGTCGAGACTCACTTCGTTCTCCTTTCAATCACCATAGCTCCATTCCCGGGGACTAACAATCCACCTTAGACAAGGAAGATGAACAGGATCTTGTTCCTATTGGTGCTGTTAGTCTACCTTCGCACACCTTAAGAAAAAGATAGGTATGAAAGTTCGCTATTCCATCCAATGAGAACAAGCCAGATTCAGTATAGACGAAAGAGTGGGTTTTCACGTAGAGCATCGTCAAAGACAAGGGAGCATGCGAAGTGCTTCCAACAAGTTAAGGCCAAGCTCAGCATGTAGCTCGCTTTAAAGATAGAGGGCGCATGGGTATGCAGATAGATAGAAGTCGAAGAGTATCCCCTAGTTTTCTCAATACTTCTTTATTCTACCCTTGGCCAATCTGTTTACAAACTCGTCCAGGTTTTTCCTAATGGACCCTTACACAATCATCAAATATCTTCTCTACCAACTGAGCTATACACCCCCTCCGGAGGTGACTTCGCCAATGAAAGAAGAATAAAGCGTTATAGATCGTCCGGGTGTTGTCACCAAAAAGCTTTCCCGATTGACAGAACGTTCCGCTTCCTCACGGACACTGACAAAATAAACAAGAAAACCTAAAGAACTTTACTTTTTTTCAGCTGGTATTACTAGTCTTTGATTAATAGCCCCCTTGAGCAATTTTCCATTCTCCCATTGCGGGACATTGTTGCTAACAAATCCACCTACGGAGAAGAGAGAGGGACGATTAGGCTCGATTACATTGACCTTCCTCCTTATTTAACCCTTTTTGATGACTTGTAGAATTTTACTTCGCTTCAAAAAGTTTGTAGGGTTCGACTCCATATTTTGACATGGAACAGTTCTGGTCTTTATCTTTATCAGGCGTATGTTGAGTATCAGGTTTTGAGGCAATGCCGCTTGTAAAGCTCTTTCTTGCCTCTATGACTTCACTTCGCTTCGTTTGTTCTCTTTTTTTTACTAGCCAGCCTTTCTTGAAAAGACCAGATCCGCCGAGCCTATCTTATTTTTCCAATCCAGGATAAAATAGATCTTATGCTTAAAGAATGGAAAGCGGTTTTAGAACATTCCCCCGGTCCCCCATTCACTATTCACTCTACCCGAGGAAGGAAAAGACAACAGGGCGAAAATCCGATAGGGGAAGGAATAAGGATAGTCTTGTCAAATAAGATACCCCGGATTCAATTGCAGATGTTTTTCCGTTATTACATTTTTCACATGACAAACAACATTCCTGGCTAGAGCTCTTATCTATTCTAAAGGAAATCTTTCTCACCCTCAATGTAATCGAACCTTTTTCATCGGCGATCGGTGGTTAAGGTCCTGCCAGCTACACTATACTGCGCTAACTACGTTTCACCAACGCAAAAAGGGTAAAGTAGGTGACTACGTTCCATCTTTCTCATAGATGGATTTTCAAAATGGTACACTGTTGGAGTATACTGTAAAGCAAACTTTTACGTGAGCTTTTGGATTGTATAATTCGATTTCCCATTTGACTGAAATAAATGTTTTTCACATTGTTGCATTCTTTATGATTGCTTGTATGCTAAATGTCCAATTATCTTATATTGTAGACAATGTGGTGTGTTAGTAGTCACACAGAAGATTGCATTGTCGGTTCCTTATAAGATATAAATGATTCACAACTGAGATAGTTATGGACATGACTATCGGTGTAGGTTGTAGTATAAACTGGATGTAGCTTGTCTTGGCTATTGGTTTATACTAGTGCGCTGCGTCGCATTGAAAGGATCACAGTTGAGACGTGTTCTTCTGTTCTGACTATCATGAAGAACCTAGGTCTCGGTGACTCTACTAATTCTTAACCCTAACTGTGGTAATTAGATATATGGGATATTTGTTTGTTACTTTGACTTACCATGGGTGAGGACCAAGTATTGGTTCAATAGCTCCGTATCTTGGGTAACAACACTATCTGCATGATATCTATTTATTGGCATTAGGGCACCGTGTCCTGGACATCCAGGTTGGTGACGTCCCCTTAAGGAACTCATAAGGATTATCGTATAAACCCTGCAGGTGGATTTAATCCGTACGATAATAAGGTTGAGTGGTACTACTTAAGGATTAAAAGATATTAATTAATTAAAGCAGTCAGAAGCTTTAATAATTAATGGACGTGCGATATCTTAAACACGGGGAATTATATCGAGTCTAATAGAAGCCCTGATTCATTTCGGGATAGGACGGGAGTGCAATATTAATTCTCTAGTGGAATGAATTAATATTTACGGGCCAAATTGTGTTCTGGGCTGAACGTAAGAATTTGGGCCTGTAGGGAGCCCAAACCCTATACCTTCTAAGAGATCCCTAGGCTGGCCCAAGGACCTCTATAAAAGAAGGGATTGCACGTCTTCAACCCTAACACACATCACAAAACGTGACATTCTTCAGCCACCATCGTGGAGAAGTGACGTGAAGGGTTCAGATAAGACGAGATACAATCCGCTCTTTTCAACCGTTTGGTAGATCGTCGTCCATCCGGCGTCCAAACGTGGTCGGGACACAGACTAGAAGATCGCTCAGATCGAATCAAAGCCTTGAAGAAAGGTAAACTTTCTGTTCATCCTTTAGGAGCATGCTTAGGGTTTAATCGAAATCATGTATGTACATGTTTGGTATCCGATATCGATCCGTGGGAAGGACCGCCTCGTCGGCGTGTTCCAGCAATTGGTATCAGAGGCTCGGTTTCGTAGATTATCGGCTCTGCCTGGAACATGTAGTTGATTTCGTTTATTCATTTATTCGTTTTCAGTCATGTTCATGGTGTGGATGATGTTTTATCTCGTTTATGCTTCTGGATGGTGTCTATCGCAGCCCTTGTGTATTGTTGTAATCGTTTTTCCCACCAGATAATAAGTGTGGGTAGTATAGGCGATTTTGTAGACTGTAGTAGGGCTGTTCTTGTTCGAATTTTGCTGTACTTTTGTGTTCAAAGTCGAACGTGATGAAGATGATCATCCTGGAGGCGGCGGCTAGGGTTTCAACATTCACCGGGGCCGGTTTCGTCGGCGAAAACCGTTTTGGCCATAACTTTTGCTACAGGTGTCCGATTTCAGCCCATAATACCAATTCGGAAACGGGAGAACGAGATCTACAAGAGTTACGGCTATGCCGTAACAGCCTGTGGCGGGGTCAAATTCAATCGTCGAGATGAAGTTTTTGGCTCTTTTCCGTCGGTGGGTGCCGATACCGCGTGAATGGCCCGATTTGCGCGAGATGCCGATTCGAGTGTTCATCCACGACTTTGTTGAATCATGTAATAGCTTTGATAGGCTGTTAGTGGTTGGTTTTAAGGGGCTGCGATGAATGTGTTTTAATTTTCGCATTTTATCACTTTGTGGATGCCGATTTAATTTTTGCTAGAGCATGTTTATTTGTTTATGTGTCTAGCTGATTTAAATCGCTTTTCTGGCATGCTAGAAATCATGTAAATAGGTGCTTTTAATTCTTAGAAAGCTGTTATTGCTTTTATTTGAATTATAGGAGCATGCTAGGATTTATGTGATTTGCGTGTTAGGAGCATGCTAGGAATTTTATTATTTCTTGTTGCATGCTAATAAAACCTTCAAGTAAAAATGACTAAGTAAGTTTGATATGAATCTTAATTAATTCATTTGGCCTCCACAATTGGTCTTTAAGTAAGGTGCTTGTCGCTCGCGGGACCTTGGGAGTCTCCCCCTAACGGATGCGACATTCACGAGCTTACTAGATAAGACTTCTATTTAAACGACTTAATCTTTAGGTGAAGTGAGTGGCATACGCGTGACCCATGGGGTCTCCTCCCTAACGGATAGTGTCATTCATAAGTTCACCGGTAAAGATTATTTCGAGATAACCTTAGAAAATTATTTACAAGCGATGTGTCTTCCCCATCGGTAAGTTCATCAATTGTGAATGATTGTTCTAGGGGTTAAATTGTGGTCATCACTTAGATGTGAATTTTTAATATAACTCCCCAACGGAGTCCCTGTTTCAATTCACATGGCCAGTGTTAAAAATTTTTCGACTATTAATTTCATTCGCCATAAGGACAGGTTGGCGTGCAATTGAGATTAATGACTGGGTGTCTGCTTAATGGACATATGTGTAAACGTCCACCCTAACGTGGCTTGCATGTGTGTTTGTTTAAGTTGTCGAAGGATGCGGTAAAATAATGGTTTTTGAAGGTTTCCATATTTTATGCTTCAAATTTATGTGAATTGTTGCTTACGTGTTTGCAATTATTTATTTCAGTTATTCATCATGTCATTCAATCCGCTTATGACCATTCTCAATCAAAACAAGCTTACTGGTCCAAATTATTTGGACTGGAAGAGGAATCTGGATATTGTCCTTGTTGCTGATGAGTACAAATTTGTGCTCACCACACCTGCTCCTGCTCCTTTGGGCGCTGCTCCTACCGAAGAGGAAAGGGAGGCTCATCGGAAGTGGCATAAGGCTGATGAGATGGCTCG